CAGTCACCTCCGATGATAAAAGGGCTTGCTAATTCTTTCGAGCTGCTCCATGCACGTCATGCGTCTGCGCTTGTTGGCGTCCTCAAACTCCGTGATCCTGTGTCCAGAGATTCGGTAGGAGGAGGCAAGAATGCAACCGCCTGGCAACATGCCGTCCACCCGCCGCGCAGTCCATCTCCATGTTGCCAGTGCCACGACTCGAAGGTCAGGCGGTGCCTTGGAGGTTATGTCGTGCCGCACATCGACTGCTGCGCCCGAGCTGGCAGCTCGCCCTGGCCCTTTGCGGGCTGGAGGCAGACGGCAATTCCAGCCTTGATGGCGGAGCCGCAACACAGCATCGCGCACCAACTCGCTCAGCAACTTACGCTCCTGGAGCGGGATCCCGTCCGCGTTCGGGAGCAACTCAAGCACCTCATTGCCGGGCAGTGCCGTGCTAGCTGCTTCTGTTTTTTTCTGCGCCGCGGTGATGTTGACAGCGACGAATTTCCACCCTCGAACGCTACTCCGACCACCTCCACGAGACCGACGCACACGAGTCCCCCCAGCCCACCTCGCTGAGGTCCAGCCTCGCCGCAAAGTCGGGGCCTCTGCTCCCCCGCGGCCTCCGCCGACGCGGCCAGGTGGTCCTGCCGTGGCCACCCCGCGTGCGCGCCGCCTCCGCAGACGGACCGGCTCCAGCCGATGCCGTCGAAGCACTGCAAGCAGCAGCGCCTCCTCTGCGCCCCTCCTCGGGGGCTGCGGAGGAGGAGGAGGAGGGGGGGGAGGAGGGGGAGGAGGAGGAGGGGGAGGAAGGAGGAGGAGGGGGGGGAAGGAGGAGGAGGAGGAGAAGGAGGGGGAGGAGAGGGAGGAGAGGGAAGAGGAGGACGAGGAGGAGGAGGAGGAGGAGCCCACTCGCCGGCGGCCCCGCGGGGCGCAGAGCCCCGGGGCAGGGCATCGACCACCTGCCCGTCGGCTGCCGGGGCCAGGGACTCAGCCTTGTTGCTTGCCTGGTAATCAGCTCCCGGGGTGGCAGCGCTTCCTCTGCACACCTCCACGGGGGTTGCTGTCCGCCCGCCAGCGGCCCCATGGAGCGGACTACCCCTGGCGCGGGCATCGACCACCTGCTCGTCGGCAGCCGTGCGAAGGGATTCCGCATTGCCACCCATGTGTCCACCACCCATCACAACGCCCTGCTTTTCGGCCCCATGCTGCGTGGTAGCCGCCTTCCACCCACCTCGAAGGGCATCGCGCCAGTGCCTGCCTTCTTCCTGCAAGCGGCGAATCGCTCAAACAGCTTTCCATTCCACTTGCCCCCAGACCCCACCTGCAAGATTCAGAGTCGACTCACTTGCCATGTGCTTCAGCTTGAGCTTGAGCTGGGGGCTGGACCTTTCTCCGCTCTGCTGCAGCGGCGGCATTGGCCGCGGGGAGGGGCCCGAGCAGTCGTGCCCTGGCAGCCTTGATCTGCTCGCGCCCATCTTCCTCGTCGGCTCCATCGAGCTTGAGCCCAGCCTGAAGGAAGACGTCCTCGTAGCCGTCCTCGGCGGGCACAGGGATATCAAGGTGGCCCAGCACATCGTCGTCAGGACCCGGATCACTGTCACACGCCACGCGGTACACTGACCCGCCTTCCTTCGATTGAGTACGTTCCAGTTGTCGTTGGGTTGCTGCTCGAGGGCTTCAAGCGCTCGCTGCAGCACTCGGAGGGCTTCTTCAAGACAGCTGAGGATGTTCTCGCTGCCCATCTTCTTCAGGATGTTGACCGCCTTGCCGCGCAGCGCCATCGCGGGAATGCCTTCGGGAGTAGGCGCTTCGGCAGCTTCTCGTATGAATGCTTCAGCTCGTGCCTCCTTGATCCACTTCCTCCGCCCCTCATGGCTGGCGACACTAAGCTGTTCAGCATCTCTAGCTTGCGTGGCTTCTTGCAGTTCGAGATTTCGCTCCTATAGACGCTCCCGCGCGTTGTCGAGCTTCTCGTTGGCGTCCTGCATCCGCTGATCGCTTTGGAACGCTGACATGCCATTGTAGTTGGGAGCTGACTGTTCGCCCTTGGCCTCGGACTCCGCAGCCTTGTCCCAGCGCACGACAAGTTCCTTGCAGCTGTCGGGCCACTTGGTCCTGTCGTCGCCGTGTGCCTTGGCCAATGCTCTCCAGCATGGTCTTGGCAATCTTCGGGTCGTGCTCCACGCCGTTGTTGTTGTCGCTGTTCTCTTTGTTCTTGGCACTGCTGTGGGCGTCGGGCTTCTTGCTATCTCCCAGCATCGGTGGCCCCGCTGCCCACCTGTTGGGCCGCTCAGGCTCGCCTCCTGCCCCTCGCTGCCAAGATTAAGTGTTCGTACTCTTGGACCACGGCGGTTGGCGCACCCGTCCAGGCTGTCCATCCATTTCACGCACCGTCCTGGGCGCCTGTTTGCCGCGCCGCAGACACGAGGTCCTGAACCCGTAATTCGCGAGCGCAGTGCCGCTGAACCATGCGTGGCTCGCCAGCGCGAGCCCATTCGAAGCACATGCTGGCAAACCCGGACAGAATGCCTGGGCCGGAAAGGCTGGATGAAGAGGAAGAGGAGGAAGAGGAGGAGCAGGAGGAGGAGCAGCAGGTAAACCCAAGAGTCATCAACGATAGTGGAATCAACCCTCCCTCCAAGCTCCCTCTTCATAGACCCCCATCCCGCTTTTTTTCCACTGAGGGAATTGCCCGTTGGTAGACAACCGTTTGAAGACCCTGAAGCATGCCAAACCAGTGTTCTCGACTGTTGCGGCTTGACGATCCTGAATCGTGCCAGAAAGCCATTCTTGGGACCTCAACACCGCGAGTCAACGTAATTGTTGCACCCTCATAATTCTGAATCCTTCCAAAACACCATTTCCGGTGCGCACGTCATGGGAATCCGTGAACATCTCGCATATTTTGAAACAAAAATTGCGCGGCGCTAGAGCGAGAGCCATATGTTTTAGAATGAGCCGAAGTCAATCCGTGCTACATTTTTCGATACAGAACAAATGAATGCGCGCGGCGCGAAGGCGAGAACCGCATTTTGAAAACGGGCCGCCCCAAATCCGTGAAGGTCTTGCAGTTAAAACGAATGCGCGCGGCGCTAAAGGCGAGAACCATGTTTTGAAAACGACCCGCCCTCCAGTTGTGAAACTGTTGCCAATGTTTAAGCTTCAGGGTCAGAAATGGTGGTGACGTGTCAGGCGAAACGCCCGGCCCGCCCTAAAGTCGGGCTTCGGGGTGCGACAGGGAAAAGTGATTCATAAGGACAAAGTTGAAGGAGGACGACGAGGAGGAGGAGGAGGAAGATGTGGGTACAGGAAGTGCTTGCACGCCCCGCGCGGTTCGAAATTTGAAGGCATCCCGGCGAACATCGTGCGAGGGAGACATGTTCGCGCAGTGTGAGACGAAAGCGCGACGGGACATTTGTCCGCCGCCTTCAGCCTCCCAGGGCCGTCACGGGGTTCTTTAACCGCCACAGAAATCCTGGGATAACAATCCAGCCCTGGGGAATTCGGCGGCGACGGTAAGTGCGAATAGCCCAGGGGCGGGTGCGGCTCGTGCCTTCGGAGTCGACAAGGCCAGGCTTGTGATCGCGGCGCCTGGCCGAGGGGGCCTCGCCGAGGAGGCTTGCGTCTTGGGATCTATTTGGGGCGCTCTCGGGGGCCCCTGGGAGTCAATGTTGGGGGTTTCTTGGGAGCCTCTTGGGGGCCTGCTGGGAGGCTCCTCTGGACGCGCCATCTGCTCGGGATTCAGGGATTTTGGAGCGGGCCATGTGGCGCGTCAAGCTTCGAGCATCAGGAGTTGTATGTCTTAAGCGCACGCGTTGGCAATTGCGTATTTCCACACATCTCGTTTGTCCCACCCCTCCTGTGTGTTGGGTCCTCGTTTTGAGTTCGCAGCGCCGCGCTCCATCTCACCTCGTCCCCCTCCTCTCCTCTTCCGTCGCACTCCTCCCTTAACTTCCTCATCCTTGTCTTCCCTCTTTCCACCACACCACCACACTATCGACACAACTCTCACACGTTTCGTGGCCCTGTGGGGAGCTCCGCCGAAGGCCTCAGTGGCAGGGTTCGCATGCGTACTCGGGCCCATTCCGACAAGGAGCTCCACCAAAGGCTCAATTGGCAGGGTTCGCAGACATACTCGGGTTCATTTCGGCACGCCCCTCACACGTTCCGTGGCCTCATAGGAAGTTCCGCAGAAGGCCCCAGTGGCAGGGTTCGCATGTGTACTCGGGCCCATTCTGGCGAGCCCTGCACACGCTTCGTGGCCGCATAAGGAGCTCCCGACGGCTCCAGCTGCAGGGTTCACATGCATACGTGCTCGTGTCCATGTCGGCACACTTCACACGTTTCGTGGCCGCATAGGAAGTTCCACCGAGGTCTCCAGTGCCAGGGTTCGCATGTGGACTCGGTTCCATTTCGGCACATCCCTCACACGGTTCGTGGCCACATGGGGAGCTCAACCGCAGTCACAGTGAGAGCTCATGTGTGAATGCGGCGGCTTTGAGTGTAGGTTTCCGTTTCTTTGGTGAAGCGTCCAAGGTATTTTCATCTTTCAGAATGTTCATGTGTTGGCATGAGGCGTTTTTGATGATATCCGCCACCCGTTTACAATTGGGTTGTTGTCTTCGCCAGGTGTTCTTTATTGCAGAATTCTCGGGGCCTCCGAGGGTCGTCTGTGAGTCATGTTTATGATTCCTGGGTTTCATGAGGAGCTCAGGGCAGGGCAATTGTCGGGACATCTTTCGCGTACTCGTTCATTCTGTGTGTGCAGCATTCGCGGCGGCCACCCACGCATGGCGGACGGGACTGGACGGAAGAGACGCGACTCAAGGTGGAGAGAGGGCGACGAGGCGGAAGAGGGAGGAGGAGGATTAGGGCGAGGGTGAGGACGATGACGCGTGGGGCGAGGAGGAGGGCGAGGGCGAGGATGGGAAGGACATGCCGGCGGAGGACGAGAGGGACGAGCACGAGGAAGCGGAGGGCGAGGAGGAGGAGAAAGAGAACGAGGAGGGCCGCGGCAGGCCGCCACCGAGCGGCTGAAGGTGGAGATCGAGGGGCCAGGACGCCCGCTCGCGCTCGGCGCCGCGGCACGGCCGCCTGCCTGCCTGCGGGCCTTGCGGCTCTCCCTCGCCACACGGGAGGCTGTGGCATGCCTCTCCTCTGGCGCCTTGCGTTGGCTGGTTGCCCGGGCCGGCCTCCTCCGATGGGCCTGTCTTCCACCACCACCACCAGAAGTTGGAGGGGAGGAGGAGGAGGAAGAGGAGGAGGAGGATGAGGAGGAGGACGAGGAGGAGGTGGAGGAGGAGGAGGACCCCTTCCCCCTCAACTTATGGTGGTGGTGATGGTGGTGGAAAACAGGCCTCATCCTCCGCCTCCTTCTCCTCCCCCTCCCTCTCCTTCTCCTCCTTTTCCTCCTCGTCCTCCTCCTCCTCCTCCTCCTCCTCCTCCACCCCCCCGGTAACAGTAACTTTCGTACGTAGGCGGGTGGGTTGGCTGGACCCCCCCCGTGTTGATGCTTGATCGCGTACTGTGGCGATCGCAGCGCACACCCGCTCCGACGTACACAACCCCGCCCAAGTGTTACCCCCCCTATCGAGAGACCAATGCCAGAAATAAGATCACACAACTATTGTGCTACCAGATTTCCACATACGCATGTTACGAAGCAGGATCGACGGGGTACAACAGTAGTAATAGGAGAAAGAGGAGGAGGAGGAGGAGGAGGAGGAGGAGGAGGAGGAGGAGGAGGAGGAGGAGGAGGAGGAGAAGGAGGAGGAGGAGGAGGAGGAGGAGGAGGAGGAGGAGGAGGAGGAGGAGGAGGAGAGGGAGGAGGAGGGGAGGAGGAGGAGGAGGAGGAGGAGGGGGAGGAGGGAGAGGAGGAGAGGAGGAGGAGGAGGAGGAGGAGGAGGAGGAGGAGGAGAGGGGAGGGGGGAGGAGGGGGGAGGAGGAAGGAAAGGAGGAGGAGGAGGAGAAGAGGAGGAGGAGGAGGAGGAGGAGGAGGAGTGCAAGGCACGAGGAGGCTTCTGGGCCCTCCCCGCGAGGGGTCGACGCGCCGAGCGTGCACGACGACTAGGCGCGGCTCTGGGCGGCGGCGCCCTTGGCAGCGGGCGCTGCGCGCGCCCGCGCGCGAGGCGCCCCGTGTTGCCTAAGAGCCCGACGACTTCTCGCCCACCGACGGGTGCCGGAGCCAGCTGGGGTTGTGTCGGGCGTGTCCCCCTACTGTCGGGGCCCTGAAGAAGGAACTCTTTTTGGTTGGGGAGGGGCTCCGCGTTCCTTAAGTGTTTTGCAGCTTGCCTCAGGTGTTCCTTATGTTTTCGGTCGGAAATCGAAGCTTAACTCATGGAAAAAAGGGGCCTCGTTCTTTATATTGGGTTCCTTAGGTGAAGCCCCCGACTGTACAGCGGGATCTTCGACGAAAAAGGAAAAATACCCCCAAAAAGTACCCCAAGGAGGTCAAAAACTAATCAAAAGATAGTCCCCAGACTATTGTTGGACTATGTTTTGCTTATTTTTGGTATTTTTTATTTTTCGTCGACAATCCCCCTGTAGGGGGGACAGGCCCGACATAAAGCTGGGGGTCTGAGGCGGCCCAGCACTGGCGTCAAGCAGTGGCGACGCGTCCCAGCTCGCCTGTAGCCCTACCAAACAATGTTCTAAGAACCTCTCGTGGTTTCCACGAAATGTTCTCAGAACACTTCTGGCGGAGTCTGTCTTGTTTTCTCACGTCGGGTTTCTGTTCTGAGGGCATCGTTTTTATTCGTAGGGCATTTTCTGGGTTCTGAGAACACTTCGTGGTAGGACTACATAGGCATGCCGGGACGGTCGCTCCCTTCTCAAACTGGGTCCGCCCAGCAGAAAGGGGAGCGAGGCCCGAGGCTCTGGCTTCGAGAAGATATTCTGCCGTTTTCGGCCTCAGGGGGCCCCGGGACCGTCAAGACTGACCCCGGGGGGGCAACTTGCAACAGATGGGCCCCCGGAGAGGTCTGGGCACAGATGTTGAAAGGGTTTGCTTTGAACCGTGGTGAGATTTGCAGGTGTGTCTGGGCACATCCACACAGACGCACTCACCGCACCCACCAAACCTCCCCAACCCAATCCGAAGGCCCCAATGCGCCCTCCTTGCCCGGTTGGGCCGCGGGGTCGGGAAATATGGACAAACAACATATGAAACCCGTACCCACCCAACCCGAATTTCGGGTCTTCGGATGGGGGTGGGGAGGTCTGGCAGGGAGTCACACACACACGCACGCATCGATGCCAGTCCTTGCAAATCAGCGGAAGTCCAGGGATCCCAGAAGAGAAGTCTGACGAGCAACATCAAAACATGCACGAATAGACGTCCGAGCGATGGCAAGGTTGAGGCGCGGCAGAAGTTGTCAAGCCCTTGACGACCCTCGCCCCACCCTTGGTCCCTTGGGGGGCAAGAGCGCGGCCCCCCAGACCTTCGACGTCGAGTGGAGGAGGCGTGCGCGTGGCTTCCAAGGCGGCGATCTGATCGCGCCGATGCGACGAACAAGCGACAGTAGGCGACGATCTGTTCAAGGTTGGCCAGTTTCAGTGACGATGGCGATGACGATGACGCCATCGGCATCGTCATCGGCATCGTCATCGTCATCATCGGGTGACGTGCGCTTCTGCAACCGGGCTGGACTCGCGGCAGGCGGGGCGCGCCTCCTGCGGCCGTCCGCCTCTCTTCGGGTGTTGCTAGAAGTGTCCCTGGCCCAAGGTGCCCCCAGCTTTTTGCTCCATGTTGGAGGCCCCTGGGGCCCTCTGGGCCCTGCGAGGGGTGCCTTGGAGGCCATCTGGGCCACCCCGAGAATCCTGGGGGTACCTTGGGCCAGGGGTACTTCCAGCAACACCCGCCTCTCTGAGGGCGCGTGGATTGGCGACGGGCCTCGCTTCCGTGCAAATCTCGGCGCGCGCCGTGCCCGACGCGGGCGGCGCTGGGCTCGCGTGTTTCGGCCTGCTCCGGGTAGCCGCCGAAGGTCTAGTTTTGGTCCCCCCTAGGCAGGTGGGCCAAGTTCCAATGGTTTCGTACAAGTGCAGCAGATGCCCCAAGAGGACAATAGCATCATTGGAGGCCAGGGCCCAATGTCGAGGCCGAAACTGGTCGGCACCGATCGCCGTGCGCTTTGGAAACTGAAGCGCAGCTTGCCTAAGACTGGCGATGGGGAGCGGTGGGGGCCGGTGAATAGGACTGGTCCTGACGCCTCCTCATCCTACTCCTCCTCCTCCTCCTTCTTCTTTTTTAGACCCCCCCTATGAATTAGGGTGGGGTCGAAAGACCTTTCAGGGTAATCTCACGCCCACGCGCCAGTTACACGTATCCGTAATACATGTTCGCGTGTGCTTGACCGAAGAAGCAATATTCTAATGATCATTCTGGGCCAGGTCCTCGCATATTTCCCGCCGCCTTCCTCCTCGCCCATACTAAGACCCAGTCACATTCAGGCTCGCTCACACTCAGACCCACTCGCACTCAAATTCACACTCAGACTGACTCAGATTCAGACTCAACACTCAGTCTCATACTCATGTGCAGATGCACCCAGACTGAGGTACACGTAGACCCATATACACGAAAGAGCGTGTTCTACCGCTGCTGGCGGGAAACCGGGGGGGGTCACTACCGGTTCGAACCCCCCCCTCCCTTCGGAAAACCGGGGGTGGTCACCACCAGTTCGAACCCCTCCCCCCCCACCCCAAGTCCATCATCAAAAGGAGGACGGGGTCACTACCGGTTCGAACCCCCCCCCCTCGAAAACCGGGGGGGTCTTTACCGGTTCGAACGCCCCCCCCCCCCCTGAAAACCAGGGGGGGGTGCGAATTGGTGGGGACGGTGGTGGGTGGGGGCAGTGGTGAGGGGACAGAGGGACAGTGGTGGGGACAGTGGGACAGTGGTGGGGACGGTAGTGGTGGGGACAGTGGTGAAGGCGGTGGTGAGGACAGTGGTGGGACAGTAGCACGGTGGGGAAAGTGATGGGGACACTGGGGACAGTGGGACTGATGGGGACAGTGGGGACGCTGGGACAGCACAGTGGGACACCGGCGGGGACAGTGGGACAGTAGTAGGTACAGTGGGGACAGTGGGACAGTGGTGGGGACCGTGGGGAAAGTGGGGAGAGTGGGACCGTGGTGGGACAATGGTGGGGAGAGTGGGGGCATTGACACACTGGTGGGGGCACTGGTTGGGACAGCGGGGACAAAGGTGGGAACAGTCGGGACAGTGGGACAGTGGTGGGGACGGTGGTGGTGGGGACAGTGGTGTGGGGACAGTGGGAATGGGGTGGAAACAGTGGGACAGTGGAGGGTACAGTGGTGGTGGGGACAGTGGTGAAGGCGGTGGCGAGGACGGCGGTGGGACAATGGGACAGAGGTACAGTGGGGACAGAGGTGGGGACAGTGGGGACAGTGGTGGGAACAGTGGGACAGCGGAGGAGACAGTGGGACAGAGAGAACAGTGGGGATAGTCGGGCAGTGGTTGGGGCCGTGGAGAAATTGGGGAGAGTGGAACCGTGGTGGGAACAGTTGGGACAGTACGACAGTGGTGGGGGCACTGGTGGGGACAGTATAGGGACGGTGGTGGAGCCAGTGGGGACTGGTGGTGAGGGCATTGGTGCTGGGAACAGCAGTGGGGGATGTGGTGCGGACGGTGGTAGAGACCGGGAGTCGTTTGCTTGCGGTGAGGGCGGGGGGGGAGGGGTTCCAACCAGTAGTGACCCCCCCCCCTGGTTTTTCGAGGGGGGAAGGGGGGGGTCAAACCGGCAGTGACCCCCCCCGGTTTTCGAGGGGGGGGGTTCGAACCGGTAGTGACCCCCCCGGTTTTCGAGGGGGGGGGGGTTCGAACCGGTAGTGGTCCCCCCTGGTTTTCTGGAGGGGGGTGGGGGGGGTCGAACCGGTAGTGACCTTCCATGGGTTTTCTGGGAAGGAAAGGGGGGAAGGAAATTCGAACCGGTAGCGCCCTCGGTTTTCGACAGGGAAGTGGGGGTTCGAATCGGTATTGACCCCTGCCCGGTTTTCCGGAGGGGAGGGGGGGGGATGGGGAGGGGGGGGTTTTGCTGGGGGAGTGGAGGGGGGGGGGGAGGGGCTCCAGCAGCTGGGGATTTTCGGAGGGGGGGGGGACCCCCGGGCTCCGGAGGAAGGGGGGGGGGGGGAAATTTTCCACAGTAAACGGCGGCGGATCACGTTCTCTCATATGCACTCACACCCAGACTCACGTCTCACACTCAGACTCATGCACACTCACACTAACACTCACTGCTCACACTCAGGCTCATATGTATATATATATATATATATATATATATATATATATATGTATGTGTGTATATATACTATATATACAGAGAGAGAGAGTCACTCATACTCCTACTCCCTCACACTCAGACTCACTCACGCAGACCACTCACACTAGGTGGCGAGCCAGGGGGGAAGTGAGAAGGGGCGGGCCTCTTCAGAAGGCTCGGGAGTCCTCTGGCCGTCTGAGAAGTCTTCTAAGCTTTCTCCGCAGACAAAGAAAGCCTTGCAGAAGGCCAGAGGCCTTCTGAGAGACCCCGCCGCCTTATGAGAAGGGCGTCTCCTTCTCATTATCCCCCTGGATGGCTCAAGCGGTTCTCTCGTTTGCTGGTTCGGACTGTTTTTTGTATTGTGTTTTCGGGGCAGACTGCGAGGAAGTCTCGAGCGAGGCGGTGGTTCTTATGCACCCCAAGGGGGGAGCCGCCTGGGAGGGTGGCGCTCGCCCGTGCGCGGTCGGATTTTTGGGGACGCCTCGAGCGGTTCGCTCGTTTGGTGGCCCGGGGCCCTCCGCTTCCACACCCGGGCTGCGGGGATGCCTCGAGCGCGGAAGTGGCTGCAGCTTGTGACGCTGTCTCAAGCGGCCAGGGAGGGGGGCAGGACAGGGGCCAGATCGCGGGGATGGTCTGAGCGGTCCGTTCGTGAAGTGGCTCGGACTCCGATGGTCTTTTTTGTTGTTGGAGCCTGTCGTGAGGATGTCTCGAGCGTGGCGCCGGGTTCGAGCACCCCAGAAGCGGTCCGTGGGGGAGGGGGACGTTCACCCGTGCGCAGCCTGAGTGT